ACTGATTTGTAGCAAAAAAAAAACCAGGAAAATTAAAATCAAAAATACAAAAAATCTTTTTTTCTTGTCATCATCTTCTCTCCCCATCTCTTTAGTCCGCCGTCTCTTTTTTCCCTCTACTTTTTTTCTTGACTGTCAGTGTTTTTGCATTTGTCATTTCGATCTTACAAAAAAAAAGCCCTTTTGGGCGAATATATTCATAAACATTACAGACTTTTTTTTTTGTTTTGCTCATTCCTATCTTTTACTGTTGTTAATTTTTTTTTTCTGAAAACTATACAAAAAAATTTTCTATTCAACAAATTTTTTGGTTTAGACGAAAAAAATAAATATATAAAAACAACGATTTACAATAAATAGTACAAACAGTGAAAGAAAGTGAAAGAGATCGAAAAAGAAAAAAAAAGCAAAGTCGACGTAAGAGGTGAAATATATACACATCGATGTTATAAAAGGAAAATTTGCATCTTTGCAGTCAATATATCTTCCTAAGAGGTGCGTTTTTTTGCTCCGATTTCAACAGCAACACCATCAACGCCATTTATTGTACCATTTACTGGCACCGGCAATACCTGCAGCTGCAGTAGCAACTGTAATCGTAGCAGTAGCTGTAGTAGCGGTAATAGTAGCAGCACCAGAACCAGCAGCAGTAGGATCGACAATGGAAGTGTCGAAGCAGCAGAGTTTAACAGCTGGCAACCAATGCCCAAACAAATTCAATGTTGTTGGAAATATTTCCACAAACTATTGCTACTTTGGTTGATGCTAATGCTACTGGCATCAATGATGGTATTGAAACAAATGTTAATTTCTTCACCGATGTCACCAGGTGACCAACACTGTAAACACGCATGATGAGCTTTCAGCGAGTTTAATAGGCCAGTAGGCGTTTTTTAAGGCTGCCAACTTGCCAAAAAAACCCGACGAAATCACATATGCAGAAACCTTTTTTAATAATAACAACAACGAGACCGACAACGACAACAATGACGACGACACCGACGATAAGAATAGCACTGTTGCTCGGCTCAATGATATCATTCTCGTATTGGTGATATACATCACATATGAGTGCACGCATTTTCAAAGAAAAACAAGCAGAAACAAAACACTACCTTTTTAAATTTGTGGATTCATTTAAATACGACGGTACTTAACATTTATAAAAATTTTAAAAGAAGGGAACAAGATAAAAAGTACCCATTAAACAGCTATAAAAAAAGAATTCATTTTTACCAATATAGTACTAAAATTATGGCCTTTTGCTAAAATTCTGTATTTTGCCGTAAACAGAGTATAGCAACAAATTTAAGCTTTTTTATTTAATTTTTTATTTATTTATTTGCTTTTTAATAGAATTCATCCGAATCAGTACGACTAACGGCAAAGTAAAAAAAAACTGAATTGGGGACAAAAAAAAAAAAACAGATACAGCACCAACATTTATATTTTGTTACAAGAAATCTTCAGTCAGCGCAGCATACAATCACTTCAGCTAAGCAGTGATGAGGAAGAAAATTTCAGTGTTTTCTAGACTTACAGCAGGGTTAATATATCGATGAATTGTCTTCCAAAATATCCGATTATAAACAGGAAAAGCTGCTGTTGTAGACAATGCTCGCACAGCACAGGGTGACGACTGCCGAATACCGATGTTACGAATTGTTCTGAATAGCGCCCTTTTCCGTCCTTTAGCTTTTGCAGCGGTTCAGTGAATCATCTGATAGTCATCTTCAAGTTTTCCACCCGTGCTTCTCAATTAGAAAAAATAAACAATCAAAAAGAAAGGAGAACATTTCATTTTTTATTTCCTTTTTTTTCTTTCCTTTTGATATCTTAGAAATTTTTTTTATATGCGTATTTCTTAACATATTTTTCTTTTTTTTTACACATATTAAGAGTTTAGAAGGTTTCTCACATTGTACGAGACCAGAATTTTGAACATCAACTGCAACAGCAAATTTTTTGCCTGCTTTTCCGTTAGGTAACATAGGCCCTAAAACTTTTTTACTAAATTTTGTTGAAGGTAACAACATTGTTTATATATTAAAAGGTAATGAAATAATTTTTGAAAGATATATCTTCTTTTCTAGTCTCAAATTCCATCGTTTGCTCATGATAAGGGAGGATCAGTGAATTCAAAAACAATAATGCAGTTATACTTCTTTAGTTCTGTTGACTATTTCTGATCGCTTGTTGCTGCATACCATACCGGCAGAAATGCATCATTGTGCTGATACTGCTGCTTAACTATACACATATAAAAAATTATCGCTTTTTCCTTAATAGTAAACCTTCTGGTTTTTTCCTGAACTAGCTGTTAACTAAAAGAATTAGCTTGCCGTTTTTTCTTCTTTGTTCATCAGCACTTCAGAACTGCTTTTTTTCGTTAACTCAAGCCTGTTCCAATACAGTCTATATTAAAACATCAATTTTCCTTTAAATAAATAAATCTCCAAGTGGATAGTAGCCAAAAACAAGAGAATGCTGTAGACCAAAAACTCATTTAACTAACGGGTTCTCAACTAATATACTTTGATGCCGTAACCGTTCGCTCTCTCAAAAATGTTTTCTTCTGCTCTCTTCCTTTCAGATTGCACAAAATTTATGCCTTCTACTCGACGACCATCTTTTTGCTGTTCACTCAACACCCGTTTCTACAGCTAGTCAACAGCGCTTTATAACAACTGCACTACTTCTTAGATGCATAAAAGTTATTGCAAAAACTTTAACTACTCACAACAACAAAAAACTTTCTTTTTCTTGAAAAAAAATAATTTTATGACGAGTTCTTCAAAGTCCAGAAAGAAAATGAAATTTTCATCAAGACTTGCACCATAAAAATTCCATACCATAAAATCCATACAGCTTAGTAACGCTTATTCTGTAAAACTTAGCCTTTAAAACTCAATACTTGGCAATTTTAGGCTTTTAAAAGACTAAAACTAAAGCATTTTAACAAGATAAATAAACGAGAAAAAAGAACATTCATTGATAACAAACTAACAATTTATTTGCGATAGTTGCAACTGATTTATGTGCTTAAAAATATAAAAATCTATACTTAAAGCACTACTTAGACAATTTTTCAAAATCCATATTTAACTATACAATTTCTGTAGACTCAAGATCAACTTTATAAAATCGTAAATTTAAGACTGAAAGAATATGAAATATCCCAAATCAACTACACTTTGCTCTGAATCGCTTCAAAAAGCATTTTAAAAAATAATTTTATGGTAAAAATAAATCAGTTTACTAATGTAGCTAGCCTTGACAGACCTGGAGAAAAGCTGCATAATGTGTTTCACCTCAATCTCATTAAAAATAAAAGAAGTAGTATCGAGTACGGCTCACTGATCGCAAAACTTCCAGCAAAAGTGTTATCTATATGTCAACTTACTGCAGCCAGAAAGAAAACGACAGTTATCAGTAAAAATATTTCTGATTATTTGGTCGGTTTCTGCAGCGACTATGGCCAAATACTTTTAGCGCAAATTTATCCGGATTTTAAAAACTGTATCCTGCGCACCGTACCAGAAAAAAATCCCAGCTTACAATGCCTTTTCAAATACTTCAAATAAATCATCGACCGTATTTTTCAAGTCGTTCGCAATTTCATCCAAGTTTGACTTAAAAGCAACGTTAAGTCAGTGTATAATGAGTTAATGCCGCCGAATTCGGACGATAGATATACTAAATAGAGTTATTCCCGTTCATACCTCTTGCTTCATTTTTTCCTCCGTAAAGACAAGCTCTTCTCTCTCGTACAATCATTCAAAGGAGAAATCCATTCCTTTTTCCCAAGTGAGAGTTTCTTTGGTAGGAAAAGAGACATTACACCACTGATGCAGCGCAGAAACTAGTATATTAAAACAATACAAATAATTTGTATACTAAAGCCTTCTTCTACAGAGAATACCTCGCCAGTAAGTTTTTGAGCCTTATAATATGACATCTCCTTCACCTTTTAGCTTTGAGCAATGTGGAACTAATGTCTTATTTTTTTCTGAACAGCGTAATTTTATTCGGACACAGAACCGCTGTCCCCTACAGTTACTATTTGTCAGAATACGCTTTTCTGTGCCAATTCCCAACTCGTTGCTTCGACATTATATGAACATTGCAAAAAAATCACCTTCCAAAAAAAGTAACTATTTAACGAAGCCTGAATCCAGAAGAGAAATATTCTTTTCTAGTGCTACCGTAAGACTTTACCTTTGAATTGTGTTTTTCTTCTTTTAATCTGACCTGGACTATTTCACCGGCGATTGAAAATACAACCAGTTAGTACCTTTTGAATAACCCTTCAACATTTCTGGAGAATAGTGATAAAACGCAACTAATTAAGTCACTCTACTTGAGTTATCAAGGTTCTATCAGAGCATTTGTTTTCACTCTCTCAATTCTTGTTCCTCCCTGGTCGTCCTCCCAGTTGGCGCTTCCTCACCTCGGTTATCCGCTCTCGGGGCAATATCGGTGGTCTCTGTAACTCGTTAGAGTTATGTAATTTCACTGTAGCTTAGTTGGCGTTGTAAGCTCCGGCAGTTATCATCGCTCACAGTAGAGTAAAAAAGCTCAAGAACATCAGCCTTTACAGGGTCACCATCGAATGACTTCAAATACATTTATTCTGACGACCTCACCCTGTTGTATAAATTGTCTTAGCAAATATTCACCAACTCAGTAGACTGCCACATCCCCTTCCGTCTCCCATACTTCTTCAAGTCGAAAATTTTAAAGTCTCAAAAACTGCTTCTGTTACACAAAAAATTCCCCACTCGCATTACGTGCATCGCGAAATCAGCCAAGTGAAGTACTGCTACAGTAACGGAAACAATTTCATGAAGGCTTGGATGGAACTGAATCCAACGGCGTACAATGTAAACTAACGGTACCAAAAATACAGGACCAAGGAACTGCAGTAAAGTTAAAATCGTCACTTATTGCTAGATTCTTCAAAAGAAGTAAATAAACAGATCTGAAATTACCAAGTATGGATGGATTGGGATGAGGAATCCAAAGTGAAAAAAGTGGACGCAGGTCATCGTCAAACAGTAAAACAGAAGAACAGCGTTTTTGTTTGACAAACTTTCATACCACTTTCTACCTGGACATAAACGTGTTTCAGTGAATGGAAAGCGGATTCTGCTAAGATTTCTGGTAACAGAATGGAAACAAACATCCACCAAAACACCACCAAAAACCCCAGAAGCTTTTCCTATTGATGGCAAACATCGTTAGCAGGAAATGCAATCCAAAGCCGGGAGCCGCCTTAGCGTAATGGAATTTTGCCAACATAAAAATTTTCCTTCAGACAGGCTTTAAGATGCCGTTTATTGTGAGGGAAGTTACTTCCGTGATGCATCTTTGGTGATATATTCCTAAGTTAGTGGTTTGCTCATTGTTAAGATCTGTATTTTTTTTAGTATATTTTAATCCTTTTTAGACTCCTTTCTTTATTGTGTCAGCTCGGAGGAGCACTTACGAAAAAGCGTTGATCTTCTTCAATATCTTATGATAAGAACCACAAGATGTCGGTTCTTATCCCACGTACACGTGTATAATGTGCGTGTCTATGATTTTAGGTCAGCAGCAACTGATCCTTGATGTTAGTCAGGTATTCCAGTGGTATAAGTTTGATGTTGGGCCTGTATTTAGTGAGATGAAGAGAATAATAAACGCGATCTTCCGGCCGTTGAAAAATTTTCGGTACCAAAAAAGAGCGATTAAACATATTGAGAAAATCAGTTCAGAAGAGGTCAGTTTTTTAACTGCTCTTCTTTTGAATCCAACTTTGCCTTATTCTGTTTCGTGCTTATAAGGTTTATAAAAATAAAACTGCTTCAGTGAGCTACATCAGAATCTTACATTTTAGTGAACGAAAAGTACTTCCGAAAATGTATTTTCGCGCTCCTACATTTTCCATCTTGTGCGGCAAATATCTTCTTTTAGTAACTGGTTTTCTAGCTGATCAGGTTTTAAAGTTCTGGGTCATTGTTATGTAAGGAAGAGCTTGACTGGTTTTTGCGAATAAAGATGATGTATTTTGGTTTTCAATAGATTTTCTAGGTTCTTGATCCTGCTCCACTGTACAAAGAGGAAAGAAAGTACTATGACGCGATACAAAAAGATGAAAATATTAGGAAGGTTAGACTTGTCTGCTGTCACTGGCGTCTGGATGAATTCTTTCTTCTGAAATTTGAAATTGAAAACTATTGTAGGACTTGGCTACAAAGCATGAACAGCTGGTAAATAATATGTATAAGTTTAGTATTCATTCTAGCCAAGCCAAAGAGAAATATCCGTCTGAGAGGTTTGTCATTACTTGTTAATATAATTTTTCAAAGTGATTTCCGATTCAGGGCCGATTGATTCTGTTTGCTTTAGTTTTTTGAGAACAAATATTTTTTCATGGTTGTAGTGGTTGTGTTTCGGAGAGTTTAAAGCAATAAAAGGAAACCGAATAATTTTGTGTTGCAAATTAGGGATCAGTGTGAGGAAGTGTTATTTGTAGAAGACTCCCAACTTGGGAAAGCGAGTGGGAACATCGAAATGACCCGATTTGGGAATATGGATATTACGAACCTCCGGTAGATAAAATACCCAAAGGGAAACTTATGTTTCGAGAAGCTATAGAAGTGCATAATTATTGTCATGTGTTTTCATTATTTTCTTCCTTCTTGTTCTTCTATAGCAGCTGCATTTCAGCGGCTCTTAATCAAGGTGTCCTACATCACGTTGAGTACAATATTTACCCTTTTTTCAATTGTATTTTTTATTTAGAGCTTTGTTTATTGCATTTGGAAAGCAGCAGTATCTTAAAACAAATAAATTTTTGTCTTAATCATAATCTTTTGTTTTAGTCTAGACATTTTTTATACAGTCTTGTTTTAAGTCTTAGTTCTGGGTACTAAATTACTAATAAAACGGTAGTCTGAAGTTGCTTCTGTTATTTCAGATTCTACATGCTCGGCAAGAACTGTTTGGGGATCAGGACATTCCACGTACAAAAATAGCAGAATCTAAAAAACTACTGGAAGATCACCCGGTGAAACTCTTTATTATTGGGGTTTTTTAATGTTAAATATTGTTATTCTTCTTTTATTAAAAAGAATAAGCAGTAAGTATTGCTGACTTTGGACTCCACTAACGAGTTTCTTACAATATTATATTGACAAGCGGCTAGATCATGATTAGGAGTATATGAAAATTTATTGTATTATTTTTTGTTTCTTTATGCCTCTTTTCGTTTATTTTCTTTAAAAAACTTTTCAAAGGCAGTAAAAAGAGTCGACGAGGAATATCTTAAAAGGATGTGGCAGTACTTTAGACCATTTGAGAGGCGTGATACCCAGCAGGTACATTCTTATTTGACTTTATATTGATTGTTTAAAGCAGCGGTGAAATTTATTTTTTTTATATTTGAATATAACACGATTTTTTGCAAAGTTTCTGAAAATGCCCATCATTATATTGGTATATCTTTCTATTTTATCTTTACAGTGGGTTAGTAAAGTGAGTTAAAGTATGGATTTTGACCTTGTCTAACCAACGGCTCCAGATGGATTGATACTGACGGTTTCCAGTTTTATTGTGAAGCTTCTGTTACGCTTTATCGGACATGTCATAGTTTTTATGCTATCAAATTAAAGTTGCGATTTATCTCTAGAGTAAATAGCGTTTTTTTTTTTTTGAACAGTCTTTTCAATTCTGTCGAGAATCAGCGAATTAGTCTGATGATTTAGGGCTATGTCATCATAATTAAAACCCACTTTGCGGAATAAAATATTTAGAGTGTTTACTTAGTCATTGATTTTTTAAAGCAAGCTGAGGTTTGAAAAGTTAGGAAGTTGCAATCAGATTAGTTTGAAGGCGTATAGTGGTTTTATCTGGTGAGTACTTTAAGATTTTTTGTACCCACTGGAAAGGTAGAAAGGAATTTGTTGCTTGTGCTGGGTTGGGTGTTCTGAACCCACATAATCCTTCTATCCTTTTTATGCATTTGACATGTGACAATTGTAGAATTCAGGTTTTATTCATATTAAAGATGCTGAAATTTTTTTCCAAATTGAGGTATTTCTTTTCAGGTGGTCAGTCTTTCTGAATTGGAAAGGTTACAAAGGAAAATAGAATTTAAAGAAGGACAGATTAAAAGTATTGGAGATATTGACATTGATTTCAGACGGTTTTTACGTCAGAATCCACTTGAGGAAGAAGTTTATGACAAGGTGATTTTTTTTCATAGAAATGCAAGCGTTGGAAAGTTTAAAGCCGTACTTGTTTTTGTTACGTTAAGAAATCAATTCTACTATGTAATTGGAGCAGAAATTCTCTTATAGAACCAGCTTTGGCATTATCTCGTTTAGTTCCACCACTGAAGGGAAGTGAATTTAGAGTTATAATTGGAGATCTCTGCCGCTTCATATTTCTTACAAGACTATGAGACGGTTTGATATTAAGTGCAAACTGAATAAAAGCAAAAGCGTTTTGCATCTATGGAAAAAGACTTGGGAAGGTCTTATTAGCTTTGCGATATATATGGAAATAACTGAGAGTAAAATTATTTTCGTGCTATTTGAGTCACCTTGTGTGGCAACTCTATTTCAACTAAGCCTAATGTCATATCGTGTTCCTCATTAAATTAATGCAGCCTCTTTGTTCACCTGTTATTTTGAAAGAAACTCCATTGTCTCTGCTTTATTTATGCTTTTTTATAGTCACCTATAATTTTTGCCAGAATAATTATTGAAGGAGTCTATAGAAAGTTCAAATAATACGTTTGCAGTCGCTTATTGATCAACTTATATTGTAATTCTACTTCCTCTCAGCGATGGAACTATAATGGATAGTGACCGTTATGTAGGGATTTTACCAAGTTGTAGAGTTGATGCCTAAGAAATGAACATTAGGAAATGTAAGCACTGTTGTGGAAGCCATCTTTTTGTTATTTTCATGACTGATTTTAAATTTGGTGGTTTCATTCCATCGTAAATTTCTGTCTATCTTTCTGCACACCTGTTCAAAAACCGAGTTTTTAACGTATTTTAGTAACATTAATCTGTGGGAAAAAGCATTTTGTTACTTTTTGAGTATCTTTTCAAAGTAACGTTTTTTTATTTATATGTGAATTGAAACAATTTTTTCTGCAATTTAATTGCTTTTAAGCTGGGTGAAGAAGAGAAGCGTCGTTTTCTAAAAGAAACTCTGTTGTTGCATGCTGAAGAGAAGAAACGCTTGAAGGAAAGGATGGAAAAGGTTTCTTGGGTTTTAACTTGGCTTTGTTTCTCAATGGTTTCACTTGTAGGTATCTTATTTGCGGAAAGGCTGTTTTTTTTTTTACAATGCTATTACATTTCTTTCTATTGTTTTTCTTCTATATTAAAAAAATATGACGTTTTGAAGTGTTGATTCAAGTTTCAGTGAGCAAAATCTAACAAGCTTTACTTTCATAATATCGTATTATGAACAAATCGTTTAGTGATTGACTTATTATGGTTTACAGTGTGAAAAATTTCCTGGGATTTTAATATATCTGAAGTCTGAAGCTTTTATTCCATGATGCAGAAGGGTAACTACAAAAAAGTTAAGCTGAAAATTAGTAATTCTGGCGCAAAAATTTTCTAACACGTGAAGTTTCAAAGCTCATGGTTTTGTTGTTGATGGATAGGAATCATGGCAGGTTCTGCCATAGCATTACTAGTTTCGATTAATGACTAACAAGGGAAGGACAAATGAGGTTTGGGAGTATGTTTTTACTTTTTTTTCTTGAGGAGACGAAGACGGAGCGAGAGTAGCAACGGGACTATTAGGTCAAAGTTATCGACTTAGATTTCTACCCGAGCTTGATGTGGCTTAAATTTTTTGAAACATGTTGCTCAGACATCTTTCGCGTTTAGGATTTTGAGCGTTAACATTCGTGCTGGAAATTGGTGGATGCTGATTTCTAGTCTTGATTTTACGATTAGAAGTCTTTGGAGCAAACACCAGTAACAGTTTGGAAATGTACCGTCAAAAATTACTATATTTTAAGTGCTCTGTTTTAACTGTAGGTATCACCAATTAAAGGGACGAAGAAAATTCTGGCATGATTTTCAGAAATTCATTGTGCACGTGGGATTGAACTTCAGAAGCGGAATTAGAGTTTAGTTGTACAGAGACGCAGAGGTGCATTTTATTCTGTTATTGTACAAGTTTTTCAGATGCAGTCGGAAATAGAAGAACGGGGAACAGGTGACGTCGAGAATGACGATGTTAAAAAAGGATGATATTGAAGATGCAGTACAACAATGTGATTCATGACCTAGGATTACAATATAATTACTTCATGTAAAATTTATTAAGTTTTGGATTTAATTAGTTTATTTCGAAGTCTTTCTGCTGGTGTAATGTGTCTTTTTTTTGAATTTACGTTCTGTTATGCTTTTGAATCTTTCTTGTTTTAGTAGTTAAAAAAGTTTGTAACTTGTGTATGTTTCTTGTAATGGTTAGTGAATCTCTTGTTTGCCTCAATTTTAATTTGAATTAGTTGCTGTGGTAGAAAAATTTTGTAGACAAGTTAGTCCAGCATTGTTTTTTCATCAAAAAAAAGACAGTGCAGTAAATAAGTAACTGAATAGTTTTTTATTGTTTTGTTACTTTGGTTGAGTTTGAGACTTTAGGCAGGTTACTGTGTTGTTTATTTTGTTGTTGCTGAAATTTGCGATTCGTTCTTGCTTGGTCATTTAACACTGAACAGTGTAAAATATGCATTAAAGAATATTTCGATATTAAAATGACGCGTTGTTTTCAGCAGCCTATTGTGTAGTTTTAATAGATAATGCTGTTTTTAATTATTGAGGTATTTCAGGAAGAAATAACAAAGCGTGGTCTCATTCGTCCGGAAAGTTTGACAAATAATAGCTAGTTACTGAGTCACTAGCAAACATTAAAAATTCCAACTTTTAGGTGGGGGTTTGTATTGTCGTTGGATGGTTCTATTTTGAGTTTCCTGTTCACCTTTGGTTCGTTGCGATGGTTTTTTTCAAAAAGGTTTTCTAACGGATAAGAGTCTTTAACGCTACATGGGTGTGATTCGGCGAGTTGCATGCGCGGTTTCTGGCGGTGTTGATAGTGCTGTTTCGGCATATTTACTTAGCAAGAAAGGTTTCGATGTTGTTGGTGTCTACATGGTGAGTGGGTTATTGTCTTTTACTCTGCCGTATTCTGTATGTCATATGTTGGCTGGTAACAACAGTCTTACTAGATTAACTGGGATAATGTAGAAGAAGGTACCACTACTTGTCCGAGGACAAAAGATGAGGCAGATGCATATGAAGTTTGTCGGAAGTTGGACATAAAATGTTATACCGTGAACTTTGTTCAAGAGTATTGGAATCACATCTTTTCGTATGCTTTACTGGTCAAGTTTTAAGCCTTTTATAGGTCACGTTGTATTGTATTGGTGTTTAATGAAGTTCTTTATAATTTGCAGTTATTTGCTGAAAAATTACGTGGAAGGAAGGACAGTGGTTCCTGATATTCTTTGTAATAATATTATTAAGTTTGATTTGCTTCATAAATATGCTTTTGAAAAGCTTCACGTTGATGCTGTTGCAACTGGTCATTTTGTACGCACAACCTGTGGCAATTATCTGGAAGAAGGAGATCCGAAAAGTTGTTTTTTTTTTTTTTTTCAAAGACTTTCAGCTTCTACTGCTCACTAAAGAAGACTTAATTTTTTTTTGTTTTTTGAGCTTAACATGCTTTACGATAAGCAAAGAAAAAAGAAGTGCAAAATTTATTTCAAGAATCGCTTTATCTAGCAATGCTTCTCACCCAGAAGTATTGTTAATCTTAGTTTTATAAAACTGCCTTTCTCCTTTGTAGATGGTGTCAGATTGTTGACTGGACTTGATCCATTGAAAGATCAGTCATATTTTTTGTGCGGTCTGACGCAGTCTCAACTGAAACGTTCAATGTTTCCAGTTGGCAGTCTAATCAAAACTCAAGTTCGTTCAATAGCAAAAAGTGCTGGGTTAAGTGTTTGGGACAAAGCCGAGGTTACTTAATTGGATTTTTTGCAGCATTTTCTTAACATTTATTTGTTTTCCCTAGTACAGTTTTTTAGAGCATGGGAATTTGTTTCATCGGAAAACGAAAGAACTTTAGTTCCTTCCTTGATCAGGTAAACTTTTGGTGATTTCATTTAATTATTTTTTGGAAAAAATTAAATTATGAGTTGAATAGGCATACTTTTAAAACAATTTCCGCAACTTTTTGATCATTTTACCATTATTTTATTTAATTAAAGTACCTGGAAAAAAATGAAGGTGTGATAAGAAATGTGGAAGACGGAAACGAGTTAGCAAAACACAATGGCATCCACCATTTCAATATTGGGAAACGTATCCAGGTTGATCCATCTGTATGTCAGTTTTCTATGGGCTTTTACGTAACTTCGTTAGATTATCGGTCCAAAACAGTGTGGGCAGTAAGTTTTTTCTTTTATTGAATGTCTTCTTATTGATTGCTGTTGCTGCTGCAAAGATTTCTATTTCTTGAAAGCTTTCATTGAATTGTGAAAATTAGTTTTAGGGACTTTTTTTTTAAAATTGAGTGGGACATTTTAAAGGTAACTTTATAGATATTAAGGATATGCTTTTGTTTAGTTTTGCAAAATCTACTTAGCTTTAGTGTAATGGAGTGAATCACCCAAGTCTTTATGCAAAAGAGTTTATTATAAAAGAGCCATCGTGGATTGCTGACTCTCCCTTCCAAAATTCAAACACTGGTAATTTATGAAAAATATTTCATTATTTTTTTGAACGACTGAATTATGAAAGTGACATTACTTATAATGAATGAATGCAACCTTATTATATGAGTTCATGACCTGAAAAAAGTTTAGACTTAATGTAGATTTTTACACCCTCTTGAAAGTTGGCCGTATTTTCATCTGAAACTTACTTCCAGTGCTTTTAAACTTTAGCAACAGTGGACTTTCGATGTCAAAGGACTCATCCTGCATTTCGATGCACAATAATTTTATGTCCTGATGGTAACTTAAGGGTCCTGCCAAAAAATCCTGTAAGAGCAGCAGCACCGGGACAAGTATGCTCCTTGATTCAAAATCTTCTGGAAAAAAGTTTGTAATTTTTTTGCAAATTTTTTGCAGATGTGCGTAATATACCGTGGTGAGGAATGTCTCGGAGGAAGCGAGATACTAGAAATAGTGAGAACACTTTACTCTTAAACCAATTTTTTTACCATTTTGCATTACTATAATAACCGTTTCCAACTCCCTGCCGATCTATAGGAATAACTAAATTTATTTGTCAGAATCCTCAGTTAAAGATCTTTAATTTTATCTATTATGGTTGCATTTTCACAATTAAAAAAGTTTCTCAGAATAAGTTTATTTGCTTCGTTTCATCAAAATGTATACATCGTTTTGAAAATGTGAGTGGTCATTAAGGTTGGTAACAATAAAAATAAACTTTATTTGAGTGGTATTTTTGCAGCTTGCGCTACAGCAGGATTGATTGGTGGGAATAATGCAGGAAATGGTTGGGGTACAACAGGTACCCCTAACGGCTCAGCCAGTGGAGGCGATACTGGTAAGGGCAATGGGTTTGCTGGAGGTACCAGAGGAACTGCTGCAGGTAAAGGTAACGGTAGAGGTCCAATAGGAACTGGAGGAGCGAGCGGTAACGGTAGAGGAGTTCGAACTGAAGGAAGTGGGAATGGACCGAAAGGTACTGGAGGAACGATGGGGGAGAACGGATTAGCGATAGGGACTGGTGCTTGAGCTGTTGGGATGAAAGGATTGAGTAATGGGAATGGTAAACGTGGGCCACAGCACATGCATTTCATCGTTGGGCATGGAAGATTGGAGGAAGAACATCCACTTGCTGGCGAGGCATCAAGTAGTGGTGAGGTCATCACAGGAGCCTCTCTCTTCTGTAAAAAAAGTTAATTCTTTTACTGCTCGTGTCTTGAAAGTTGCCCTCATTCCCTTTGACAGTTTCAAGTTAAATATTGAAAAAAGCCTTCATTTCCCTAAAATCTTCATATCTTGACATTTTCACATCAACAACAAGTACGTTACAGACTTACTAGTCAGTCCTGAAAAAAGTACCTGTCTACTTGCGCCGACAACTACGTTGGGCGTGGTCGTCATCTGTGAGGAATCGACCAGTACCCCTTGGACAAGGCCCTAAAAAATAATTGTTTTTGAGAAAAACTCGCTTTTATTTGTTGAGGATGTTATCAGGGGTAACTTACTCGAGGATGGGCGGGAACTTTGCTAGCCAGTTGACAACAAGATGTGCAGGTTATAATATCAGAGACCGCAGTTTCTGCACAACGAATTCTGACAGCGTTACCGCATGTGCCGGGGACGCCGGATAGGCATGGCGGCAATATCCCAACCTCAGGGTCACTTGAATGTTCTGCTCGTTTCGTTTCGTCAGCAGCCCTCTTTTGTCTGGAAGCTCCAATTGGTGGTAATGGATTAGACAAAAATGAAGCCGCCGCTGCAGTTTGTGTTAGCGTCGGTCTGACACGTGGCCCATTAAGTACTACCAGAACAGTGGCATCCAGAGTACATACAAATGCTACAAACCAAATTATATATTGGTGGCTGCCATATTGTTTATAAGAAATACGCTATAATTTTTTTTGTTGAGAAATGTTCAAGACTCTGAAACAGGTTTACAGGTTATAAATTTCTTCCTAAAGTTTGTTAACTCTCTTCTATCAAAGGGTTAATTGATTAGAGATTTCTGTTCATGAAAGTTAACTTCTTACGATCCAGTGCTGGTAGGGGTACTGGCGGTGGGAGAGCTGGGAATGGGAACGGGATTCCTGGCAATGGAAATGGGATTCCTGGTAATGGAAATGGTTGTACTGGTGACAGTAAGCGCGCTGGTGCAAAAGGTGGCAGCCCAATTGGAGGTAGTAACCACTGAGCATTGGCTGTACCATTTTTGACAATTTGCTGTAACAAAGACGTAAAGTGGTTACAGTTATCTCATTAGTGTTTCAAAACGAGTAGAAAATTAGAATGTTTCACTTCAATCTCGAAACACCCCGTTTTAACTAGTGGAATAATTGGGATAATAGTAATAAAACTTACTTTTTGTAAGTTTTTTTTCATGGTTTTTTCGCCCGCAAAATGCTACAGTTTGTGTGACTTTTCATCTAAGAAACTTAACAGAATTAATGATTGCTAGCTAACTATGATTGTCTATTAAATTTATGAGCTTTTAAGCCTAACAGTACTCGTATAAATATACAAGTTACCTCATTGTACTGTGGCCTGGTATCGTCTGCTGCTGCAGTAAGCGCAAATAGCACAATCAAGGTACAGTATTTGTGCCACATGTCGAGATGAATAAAATCACCAAATGATAAGATATCGGATGGCAGATTTTCTTAAATAACGTCGTTTATCTTGCCGTCTGAAGGCGGAGTGTATTAAATGGGTACAGTATTTTTTTTTGCAAAATAAAATATATTTTATATGATATCTTCATGTATTTTTTTCTTCGAGGAATTTACCATGCAAAAGATTTGATTGCTGCTTTGTTTTATTGAGGAAACAACAGATTATATGTAAAAAAATAAATAGATTTACTTTCCATGTTCTGGCTTAATTTTTAGTCTACAGTTATCCAAAGACAAATACAAATTTCTTAAACCATCGTTTGATAACGTTTATATATATAGCACAAAGCAGCCTAATAAATTTTTGTCGTTTTGTGGCTGAAATTGACAACAGTTCCTCATAACGTCTCTTTGCCTCTTATTTAGACTGCTGTAGCACTGCTTAACAAATTAGCATCTGTTTGTGCGAAATCTTCAAAAGCTTTGTAAAAAAACTAACTGAAATGAACATATAGACAACAAGGTAACAGTTACAAAAGCAATTTTTTTCTAGAATTGCTGATTTATATCTGGTTTTGATTTTGAATTGCTTTTTTAACAAAATTTCTCGGATGACCTTAAGATTCTGATGTAAAACTGCTGTATCCATTCATTGTGTGTCACCTGCAAATGATGTATAGTTATTAAACTGGAGCAGTTTTTGCTCTAATCAATTTCCGGTTTTCTTATCACAGCTATGTATTTATGAAGTCAAGGCAAAACTTCAGTAACGACTATTAGGGTTAATCGGGCAGTGCAAATTAAAGCTTTTAACAGCTTTAAGATAATACTTTTGTCATGAATTTATTCAGAAAAAATATTGTTGTAGAAGTTTTTCTTGATTGCAAGAATACAGTTTTATAATTTAGAGATAACATTTTTTTTTCTGTATTTGAAACTGAAGTAAAAAATTTCAGACAATATATCTTTGAATATAATCTTGATTCTTTGTCAGAAGTTATTTTTTCCGTTAATGCTTCTGCATGCATTCGTGAAATTTTGCTGCCTTTAGTGTTGTAATATGTGGTACGTTTATTATTATTATTATTATTATTATTATTATTATTATTATATCAATGATATTATAATAACAGTAATACCAATAACTAATACTTATTATTATTATTATTATTATTATTATTATTATTATTTTGTTTTGATACCTTTTCCCTGCTGCTTTGATCTGAAATTTCTACTGTTGTCGTGACAACAGAATTCTGTCGCGTACTTTGTATTTGGTCTGTAATCAGATTCCTTATCTCATTTTTTCTTTTGCTTTACAGATAATACTATTTATTGCAATAAAAAAAAACCTTTTTCTTTCTGTTTTTCAACAACTAAACAGAAGGAGAGAAAAAGTTAAAAAAAATGAAATAATTTATTTGAAAAACAAATGTAAGTTTTTAATGCCAAATTTTTTGTATAGTTCAAAATTTATAATCATCGTTTTGCAAGGATAAGTAATTGAGAACAAAATTTTTGTTGTACATCAAATCCACTAAACAGATCCAAGAACATTTTAAAAGATTTCTAGCCCTTTACTAGAAGTGTAGTACCTTTATTTTTCCTATTATTCAGAAAATCAGTATCCTTGCGTAATGACGGCTTGTACGGTTTATGTCTCACACCCGATTTAATACTTTTTTCCCTATATTTAATACTTTTTTTCCCTTTGTTACAAGACTTTTGATTTAAATAAATTTGCATTTTACTGTAAAAAGTTTTATTTTCTTGTCCACCTCCCTTCAAATACCTATTCATTCGCTCTTCATTACACTGTAAACCATTCTAAAACTGTTAAGGTCGTATTGAATAATCGAACTTAGAAAAAATTAGTTTTTCAAAAGCTACAGTCAAAATGCGAAATTTAAATCATTAAAAGCAATTGTTAAAAGTGAAAAAAAAAAAAAGAAAAATTTAGTTGTCAGCGTTTAGGTGATAATAAATATCAGTGTTACAAAAAAAATTAATCAAAAATAAAATTTTCAAATCATATTTTCGAGATGACATACGGCATTTAAACTAATAAAATTTTACTGCAGCTACATGATCCATATTAATGCTGTCAGAAGACCATGTCCCATGCAACATTCTCAAGATAAAACCATTTCAAGGCTGTCCAGATAGAAGTGAAACGTTTCAGTACCTGGACAAAAGGAAAATTTAGTTAGGTTTACAATAATTGCATCTTCAAGTGTCATCAAGGGTTTAAAAGATACACAAATTGAAGTCTTAATTGGCACGTAAAAAAGTTTTTTATTGCCACAATCAGCAAAGTTAGCCTTTAAAACAGTGAACAAAATTCAGCAAGGTACAGTTTCTAAAATAATTTTTTGTCTTAAAACGTTAAAAATGATTAGCAAAAGCAACAAGCAGTTATACAAATTTCACCTTATCTAATGTAGAAATCCGTATCAAATTCAAGAAACGCAGTCGCTTATTTCCACTGTCAAGTACTTATTTTGCACCGGTGCCCGGCAGAGTCTCACTGGCAAATATCATATTATAGAAATGTTTCTGATTACTGTAGATCACCAAAAAATTCATTCAAAAATAACAGATAAACATTTATCATGCCATTCTAAAGAAAAAATTCCAAATATGCATGCACTGCAATCAGAAGTAAAAAGTGCTATCAAATAAACAATTTTTTTTTTGTTAGTTTACTTATCTTGGAGTAAAATTTTTTCTGATTCTTATATGCGTGAAATTACTCACACTTTTTTCATAAGCTGAGTTAGCTTTACTGGTTGATAGTGTTTGTTTAATATGTGACATGTTACGTAACCGTTTAAAACAACAAACGAGATTGTTGCAAACCAAGAAAAAAAAAAGAAAGAAGTTGTAACGTCAAATGAATTTCTTCAATCCATACCTTCAACGAAACGATTTAGAAATCAGTCGATAAAATATCAAGAATCCCGCCCATAGAAAACATAAGATATAAATTCTGTCTCATGAATAAAATATCGTCCTCGAAGCTGACTGCATTCGTATGTTCCTACTGAACACTTTTTTACTAGCGCTTTTAAGCGCATTAATTTCGATTACGGTGAGCAACTTTGCGATAATTATTTTCACAATTACAAAAGTGGCCTTCTTCCACTGTCTCCAATTAAATTATTAAAGTTTACTAAATAAACAAGACTTTTAAACTCTTATTTAATAAATGAAATTAACTAGTTCTTATTGATAAACGTTTAAATGATTCAGGTCAGTGACCAAAATCTGATACAAAATGGAACTGTATCTGTTCCACAACTCTTCAATCAACCATCGCTATTTCCACAATTCCCACTGCCAGTTAGCCCACCAAATATTGGATTTCCACTCTTCCCGACATCACCACAAGCTGTTGCATTAGCTTCAAACCCACCAGTTCTGCCAATGCCAATGCCAGGCCTTATGCCTGCGTCTTTTTCAGCTGCAGCTCCTTCTGTACTGCCGACAATTCCTCAACAAACAATGCAGCCGTTGAGTTCAGCTTCACAAATGACGGTTCCAGCTGCAGTTTCCCAGGTCCCTTTACAAACGGCCACAGCTCCGGCCCCGCAGCCTTTGCCAACAGTTCCAATATCACCAGTGCCAGCCCAGTTTCCTTCACAAAGTCCGCTCCCAGTATCACCACTCGTATCACCTGAACTTCTACAGACGTCTCCACTGCTACCACCGTTAACAGCTGCACAACCAGCCTTGAGTGGTATCCCGCAACCAATTTTGCCACCACTTCCTTTACCAGTGCAGCAACTATTACCTCTTCCAGCAGTAGCACCGGTCTCACCAGTTGCTTCATTAGCTCCACCTTTGTTGCCATTCTTACCTCCAGTCGACTGTAAGTTTCAAAAGAACCAGATTCAGTTACAAAAAAGTTCACAAAAAAGTAATCGCTCAAATCAATGAAATTTTAAATCTGATTTTAGTTTTCTACTGTTCTGCTCATGCATCATTCGCACTCACTGCCTCATTCGGGACCGAATCAAAGTCGTCTCGAACTTATGTGCCGGGTAAGTTCTTCAAAAAGATAAAACCTGGTACCAACAAGAAATTATAAATGTACTGGTGCTGAGCGTAGTCCTGTATGGGAAACCAGACATATTTCTCACCTTAGATGAACATGCGTAAGTTTCAAAGTAGTCTGACTGTCATAATTACCCCCCGCTTTTATAGCAACTAATTTTTAGTGAATCTGTCAACAATACCACCAGTAGCGGCAAGCCGCGATAAGGACCCTGAAGTGGGTATGGGAAGACCGTTCGTCGCTGATAGACCAACTGTTACTAATCCATTGTCAGAAACACGACAGTTATGCCGATACGCAGCCTCTAACTCCATTTTATCTTGCCAGGCTTGCTGTAAAGTTGCAGCACACTATTCGCCGCTAACACCCGTACGATAATAACTAAGTTTTTCAGTAAATGCATAGGACTCCTGGGAAATCCTTCGAAGGACTTTTTCAAATATATATAAATTCCTAAAAATCTTGTAGTCTTTCATCCTAAACTCATCTTTTTTTTAGCAACAAATAACCGGTCTCCTTCTGCTGTTTGATCCGGTAAAACCCCCAATACCGTCTGTTACCATTGGCATTTCATTACGTAAAAAGAGACAAGCAAACATCAGACTGCAAGCAGTAAGTTGCTTCACTCCAAAAAAAGCTAATCCAATCACTCTCCTATCTCTATCTTTGAACGTTCGTCATAAAAAACCCAGTTAACGCAACGAAAGCGTCCTACATCACCTTACTATAAAGAGGCACAAAAATCCAATAATTAAATCAGACTGAAATCATCAACGACTCAGAAACCACAGGACCTAATGATCTTTTTTTCAGGCAAACGGAATTGTTGACAAAAGACGGTTCCAATGTATGTGTTGCGCGCCTAAAAATCTCCTTACCTACCATTACTAAAAAACCCTCACGACTGCTGCTAATATTTCAATTTCGCAAGAATCTGTTTTTGTAGCAAAACTCCAGCACAATTAAAGCAATTCAGTGCATCATGTTCAAAAGGAATTAAACTATGACCAAAATTTTTCGACCTAATAATACACGTGGAACGAGTAAGGAAACATTGAATACTAAAACCACAACGAAAAAACTAAGCAATACCAAAAAACAAGTAAGAGCAATAACCCTCGCCAATGCTCAAAAGAAGCGAGAACTCAGACACTACCCTGGCGGAATAAAATTTCAAATTACAAAAAGAAATTTTAGCTTCAAACTCTCAAGACGCAGAACGCAAATAAACTGTTTTTGTCACGATCTTTTCGCAGATCCTTAAACTATCCTTCGCTACTGACTGCTTTGGAAAACAACAGGCAGAATAATTTATTATAATTTCCATAGAATGAGAACATCTTCAAGTGACAACAGATATAAAACCTCAAAACACTAAGCAAATCCATACAAAAAAGTTAATAGAAACAACGATAGATTACTACTGAGACACGACATGAGAACAAACGGAATTTTCGACCAACTTCGCCCTCCACAAATCTGACTACAAAATTGACAAAACACTCACCCTTTATCCCCAATGATATAATAAAACTACAAATCCTCCTAAGCTCGTCCAAGAGCAAACACCCACCTTTATTCGAAGTAATACAATCCCGTACCGCGTAACGCAAAGAAACATACAACAGTTCAAAGTCGCAACATTCCAACTACTCAAAATACAAATTCAAATGCGTTCAATGCCATAAGGGTGTCTCATAAACAATGATTTTAAAAGACACGATTATGCCGCAATCCCAGTTGAGGCAACTTTCATTCCAGATAAAATTGGTCTGTGTGCACTAACAGATGCAGGAAAAAGTTGAGAATAACTAGCCAACGGAACATAATTGGCTGTAATGACTTTACCTGAAAATAAAACAGTTAGCAAGAACCCACCGGAAAATCTTTAGCCTAACAACCCCCCCCCCCCCCCAAAAAAAAAAAGGAAAAAAGAAGGGAAAGAAACCGACAGGCTTTTTTTGTAATTTTGCTTGATAAAGAAACTCTTTCTTTAAAAGACTATCAGCATACAAATTATTTTTCCACCCAATATTCAAAATTACTCTATTGAAAAACTCAGTATTAACTAAAAAGAAATTTTGGAAACAAAAAAAGCACTCACTAACCTGAGAACCAACGACCATGCAACGAATTTACAGAGTTATATGCTGCAGTTACGTTTGGACATTTCACATAAACATTCCCATTTGGTGAATCCTTGTCAACATATATATGAAGAATTCCTGGAAAAGTTTGCCGTCTAAATGTCCTGACTTTCACAAAAACAGAAATTTTTGTCAAACCTGAAGCAATCAAAACGCAACTGCCTTGAAGAAGTCTCCTTAACACTTAGAAAATTTCCATTTTTTGAATGCTTTGAAAATTTCTAAACCACCCCTAATGTAAATTAAGAAAACAAATCATTTTTTTCAAATTCCACAAAAAAGTTCATCTTTAGCAGCTTATTTCTGATGTACACAGCAATTTCAAGCGTAATATATCTCTTGAGGAACTCTACTCACGTTCTCCCAACAAAATTTTGTAAAGAACATCAAAATCGCAAGTTATTAAAAAAATGCCAATCTTCTGAGCCTTGGAACACCTTCATGATAAAACATCTAGCACTAGATAATAAGACCCTAAAAGGCTACCGACAACAAAATCGGTGACTACCATCTCCAAAATGACCCCTGCCTCATTAATCGTTAGATGTTGTTTTAAAATACATGAATCTCAATCAAAAGAGCTCTTCAACAGGTCACATCTAACCACACAATACTTCCACAGTCACCTGAAACTTGATAAATCACCCTACAGAGAGGCGTAAAGCATATTAATCGCAAACTATACATGACGGTGAAGCTAAGGATTTTTCCAATAAATTCTACGCCTGCAATAATGCTATAGACAACCATTTCACATAATTCCTTTTTAGCCTTTTATTGTACATGGCTTTAGGATAAGACTTAAAACTAACCGTTAACGATTAAAAACACTTCTAGAAGCCTCAACTCATCTTACAATTTCCCGCCCCACCTCAGTCTCCAAATCCAAATAAAACTAAAAACATACCACCATTTTTCGCGCATTCTTCAATAACGTCATCTCTGACTTCTTCGGCCCAACTATCCCCTTGCTCACTATAAGCATAATTCAAGCGGTAAGCTTTGCCAGCTGTCAATGAGAAAGAAAAAATAAGTTGCAAACGCAAAATACCTCTTGGGATCAAACATATTTGACAACACGAAGCACTGTGTAGCAATCGAAGGGATACTCGAAGCATTTGATTCTGTTGGGTTTTGATTCTGTGCCAGCATTTCCTTTGCACTTTTCGGCAACTCAAGGCCACTTCCTTAAAAAAATTTTCCAATAGGATTACATCTAAACAGGCTTTACTCAACAACGAAAAGATCAAACAAACCTTCGGCCAATTTAGCCATTAAATGAAGGCGACCACTAGTTCCTAAATCGATACCCCGACGATCAGCTTCATCAGTATCTAATGTTCGCTGAGGCCCCATCGGTAAAGTATCATCCTTTTCAACAGTTGCAACCTTCAAATCAAAAAACTACTTTTGGACAGTGCTCACAACCGAAAAAAAAGAAAAAAAAAGAATGGGCACAACAACTGCAGAAAAGTAATAAAACTAAACGCTTCGCAACTGTATGCAATTCCTTAAAAAGACAACAGTGAGCAAACTGTAAGCAAACCATAGAAAAACAAAAGAAATTCCTGCAAAAAACAGCAAGAATACCTTCATAGGTCTGTTGGCCAATTCAAATCCGTTCAGTTGTTCCATTGCCCTTTTCCCATCATCTGCGTGTCGAAACTATAAGGAATAAAGAAGTGTGCTTCAAAGTAAGCAATTTTTGAAAAAAAAAAAGAAGTCAAGGGATAACTTACTGTAACATAAGCATAGCCCTTTGAAACCCCACTCAAATCAGTTGCAACTTCCAAATGATCAATCTAAAATAGATGGTTAAAAGAAAACAAAAGAAAAAGATTTTAAAATAAAACCAACAAGACGTTAAGAAACCGTAAAAAGCACTTTAATAACAAACTAATTTAAAAAAGCAACAAAGATAGCAGTATGAAACTTTTTCAAAACTGTAGACTTACTTTTCCAAAAGGGTCAAATATCCTACCCAACATATCTTCCGTTATACTTGGATGCAAATTACCAACGTAAAGTTTCAGCGGCCCAGTAGTATTTGTCGGGCCGAAACCAAGGGAACCCCCAACCGTATTGTTAGCTGCACGATTGCGTTCAGCTAACGTCTGCTGTATTACAAGGGGTGCGCCTAGCAACTTTTGCCCATTTAGAGCTAATGCCTAAAAATGTACTGGTAAGTCCTAAGATAAAATTAGCTATTATATAATTAAAACAATGACGGACGCACCAAGTTGACACTTTCAATCTCCCAAAACTCAACGTAACAAATTCCTTTAGACCTCCTTGTTTTCGAATCTGTTATTATCCGCACATCACGAACATGACCCACACTAGAGAAAAATTCTTCGAGATCACGAGGACGAGTCTGTTTCGCAATCTGAAATAGTCGTGATTCATGTAATACTGTTAGAAAATGAAAAATGATAAAAATAAAGATAGCAGCTGTTGAACATTAGCGTGACTGGATTTAAAGTACACTGGACCTCTGACACTTTATGAGACGAAATTTTAGGGCTTAAATGCAAAATGGAATTTAATTTTCATTTAGTGCTCAGCAAATATAAGACAAGAGAAATGAAACAAGTAACGAAAGCACCTGCAAAATAAAAATGGTACGCTGGTCTCTTTCTTCAGAAGACATGTTTAATTTTGCATTTGGAGGTGGCGATCGTCGGGCAGTAAAAGGCATTCTGAAAAATACTCATTAAAACTATTCTTAAGAAAAGTTTGGAAAACTGTTTTTAGCACTTGATCTTTCAGTCTCAAGGATTGAGTAGAAGCAATACTAACACATCGCGTCGTTCAGGACCTGGGAGCCGAGGACCTCTAGGTGGCGAACGTCTCCACTGCGGAGAGAACCTTCGGTCACGGTGATCCAAAACTCGCGGTCTAGACCTAAACTAGTCCTTCAGCAAGAGTTAAACAAAAAAAAACTTTTAGAATATGTAAATATCTATATGAAATGTGGACACTCGAACCAAGAACGACTTCTACTACGACCACGACGATTCCTAGAACGTGAACGCCTCCTCTCCCTTGACCTACGAGATCTAGAACGACGCCGGGAGTGTGACCGATGAGAACGTTCTTTAGAACTGAAACAATGAACTGGAAGTCCATAAATTGGTAAACGCAAACAAGGGGAACTAAGTGCTTATCTTTAACTCAAGATACCCAAGTGACCATGCACTTACCGTGAACGGTGTCTCGACCGACTTCTTTTACGTGAACTACGCCGACGATCTCGTGATCTTGAACGAGACCTGAAACTAATTAGGCTTGTGGTTAAATTTCCATCGTAATAAAAAAATGATGACAGGTCCTGTTAGCAAACACAAAATAACCTTGACTTCTTTCTACGATCTCGGCTGGAACTACGCTTCCGTTTCTTTTTTTCTTTGTCCTTTTCTCGACTTGGTGAACGGCTACGAGAAGATGACCTGTAAGAAAATATAGAAAGAAATAAGTTAAAAAACGTGCTCCTGAACACTCATTGCCCGCACAAAAAACGTAACCCTCGAATGCTAACAGACATGAACTGAAGCAGTACTTCAAATACCAATGCAGAAGTTTTAGTCCTATAAAACAAGTCTGCATAAAGATGATAAAGGTGCTGTTTTTTGACGGGCAATAAGTGCTAAAGTGGGCATTATTTGTCTGAGTAGACAGCCATGTGAGAGCATCCTGAAACCAAATTGTCAAGCAGTAGTAACTGGAATCCATACTACCGATCGTCCATTCGCCACAGCGTAGTCAACGTCAATCGTGTTATGCCTGTAATCACCAGGGCGCGCCAGTAATTCAACATTAATTCTCAATCCCTCAGAAATCTAACAGTGTAAAGAAGGAAAAAAAAGAAGCTGTACCTTCCTTGTTTAATTTTATCGAAAAGAAACCATAAAAACTGTAAGACCAGCCAACGTCTTTGTCATTTTCTAACTCAAAATTTTACAATTCTGGAGAAAGGAACAACAAAAAAGAATAAACAAATTTCTTAATTCGTTTTCTTTAAAACAATTTAAGATGCAATGGCGCGCCCTGAACGCATCGGTAGGCATGAACACAAATCAACATTCTTTGCGTACCTTTTCTTCATCAGTTCTTCAAAATTCACCGTCCTTCGGGATGCATTGCATTAATAAGCGAAAAGAACAGATGCAGAGTTGATTTCAATCGAGCTTATTCAAGTCTACAACGACGCATCGGCTTAGTATTGAAATCATGTTGATTTTGCAACCCATCAGAATTTCTGAGAGGAATAATATTAAAATATGTTACTTCCTCAAGACTTTCTAATTTGAGATGAATTTAACGACTTTCCTACCATCACAGACACAAAAAAAAAAAAGAAAAAAAAATAATAATTATAATAACAGTGGTTGCAATCAAGAAGCAGATGTCTAAAATTCAATTTTTCTTGAAATGTCAAACAGAACCAACTGCAATCAGATATGGATGAAGTTAACATTAGTACGCGCAAACATATCGCAAAATAGACTCAGCGAGCAAAACCCAAAGGCACTGCAACAGCGCAGCATCACAAAGCGGTGAAGTGATTCACGATGTAGTCCTAAACACAAAAATTCTTCCAGAACTTAGCCAGAACCCACCTAGAAGCCCTTCTACGTTCTTTCTTCTTTTCCGAAGAATCAGTCGCCGATTCTTCTGTTTCCATCTTCGTAGAACCATTCAGTGTCTTATCGGCAATTTCCTTCTCATCCTCAACAGACTTTTCCTTACCACTCTCACCTTGAATAATTGCTGCCATGGGTTCAGTATGACCATGGCCATTATTCCGATCAGACTAAATTACAGATGTTAGCCTTTCAGACAGAGGGAATTAAAAAAAAAAAATGTGGCTTACAAAAGCCATATCGACTACTTCGATGAGCACTTAGAAAACGAGAGAGTACCACAATTTGAAAGATGAAAACGAAGTTAATAAAAACGTAAAACAAGTAAACCAACTTCATCAATTTTGTCAAGAGCCTCTTCAAGCATCGCGTCGACGTCAACTGGTTCACCCATTTCCGTAAATGATTAAATGCTTCACGTTTTACTGTGCAACCTATCAAGTTAAAAAAATCAGTTTATTATCATCATCTATGGGAAGCTTTAAAAATCCAGTAACACGCCACTGAAGATAAAGATACGCTTCTCTCAAATTTAATGAATAAAAAGCTTTAAAGCACATAATCAAAAATGAAAGAACAAGCGGCACACAAACATGCATACCTATGTGATCCGTTACAGACCAAATTATTCTTTTAAAAAGAAAAAAAAGACCACAAAGGCATACATCCGTGAACAAAATGCTAATTAGGTCTCCGAGTATGTCCAAAATGCCAAAACTGAAACTATTACTAAATGCGTCATCTAAAGACGCCAAACCCAACCTCCACCTGACCAAACTTTAACGTCAAATAAACAGCGACATTACATCGCATATAATCGAGGACACAACAAGCTGGACCACCAACTAGTGTCAAACGAGGAGCAAACGACGTATAGGCAATGAAATATTGCGCGTTTTATAACGAAACGCGATTTTGTTAAGCGCAAACTCCCCTGACTAAGGATCTTTAAATTTCGTTTTTGGAAACAGCAGCTTAATATTTATTTAAAGAAAGGACAACAATAGAAGGCTGTTATGTTTTCAGGCAGCCTTGAATCGAGGTTTAACTGTAATTGATAGACTGCCAACTTGATAACTGAGTATTCGTCATCCTCCAGATGATCATAACAATGTCTATTGGAAGGAGTTTGGATTCAGACGTGAATTACCTGGGAAGTTGAAGTGTTCTCATTTGTAGGTTTACTAGATTCTGCCTTAGCAGCTTACACTGGTCTTTGAACTACGAACTTGTAGATATTTTTTCTAAAGTAGACTAAAAGTTTCAGAAGGCAGTGTTTAGGTGCATTACAGAGTGCCGTAGAGTTGCGCAATTTGCTTGAAATTTGATTTCACTTTTCTTTATAACGAGAATGCTGTTATTTTTGGCCATAGTTCAGAGTCGTGACGTTATTTGAGCTGCCACTGTCATCATCACTTTGTTTGCAGGGTTCTAGCAGAGTATGAAGATCGAAACCTGTTGTTTTTCCGGCTACAAAATTCATCCTGGTCACGGGAAAAGGCTGGTGAAGGCGGACGGTAAAGTCAGTCTAAAATGTTGTTTCAAATGTCCTTACCTCATATTTAAGAGAACTTTTAAATAGTTTTTGAGTAGTATTAAACGTTGAAGTTTTTTTATAAATGTTGGTGATTAGTAACAATCACTATATCCTTAGTTGGGAATTTCTCTATCTCTTTTTTTCTGTTTTGCAGCAGTGTAATTAGTCTATATGAAGATTTCATATGGGGTTGTCTTATAATTTTCTGTATAGTGAATACTTCTGTAGCTTTGGTTTCATTGATTACTTTAGGTTCAAATTTTTATCAACAATAAGTGTCTGCAGTCTCACTTTCTTAAACGTAACCCACGAGATGTGCCGTGGACAGTTCTGTATAGGAGGAAGCATAAAAAGGCATGCTTTAACTTTGGAAGTTTCTAAAATACTCTTCCAGTGATTTTAATGATAGTGTTTTAGGGCGTTCATGGTGAAGAGAATGTACAGAGGAAAAGAACAAAGCGTGTGATACCAATTGCATCACGAGCTGTTGGCAACATGTCCTTAGAGGCTCTTTTAGCTGCCAGAAATCAAAGGCCCGAATTCAGGAAAGCTCAACGAGAACAAGCGATCAAGGCTGCTAAACAAGCCGCAAGGCAGGCCAAGGCTGAACGAAAAGCTGCAAATAAGTCAAAGGTATTCGTTTTTATAGCTAGTCTTTGAGTCGCTGAACGATTTTTCGTTTATTGAATTGTCTTCTATTGCTCCCCATTCCAAAGCATGTTTTTTAAACATGTTTGGAATCATTCTAATTCACTTTGGATTCTGTCTATACAAATAGAAAGCATA